AAACATGTCTGTATTCCTCTATTAAACAAATATAAATTGAACCCAGGCTTTAGAGACAGAAATCTTGAGATATCTCATTTAATAGTTGTACAGAAGAGGGAATGTCAACAATACTTGCTGAAATGCCTTCATCAAAGGTACACTAGCCCTCTCCAGTTTTTACTCTGGCAACCCTAGTCAAATCTAATGTGGAAAAATCATGTGTACCTTTGCATAGACCTCTCGAGGTCTAATAAGATAATAGCCAAATAATATTGAAAACTAATATTGGCTGGTGATTTGGTATCGAAAATCCCAGATCTTAAAAATTATTTTGTCCTACAACTCCCCCAATCACCCTGACCACAAGGAATACTTGGAACAGTAGTCCAAGAAAAATAATTTCTCTGAAGTCTGAAACACATTCCTAATATTAGCTTCTCTAAGGAATAGCTTTACTTCATCACCAAAGTTATCCTTCCCTTATTCATATATTTGTGAATCAATCCAAAATCCAAGTTTGCTTATTTTTCTTTTGATGTAATAATGATTGGCTCATAGAACAGCCTCCCCGATTTGTCATTTGGTAACATATTCAAATGCCTGAGGCTTAAATCAATGTGTTCTTTGAATAACTAATATATTCTTAGATTGCTTTCAAAAAGTCTGCTGTTTATTCTTCATTTATCACACTATTTAACCCATGACTGTTTGTTTGCATGCATAGAATCAGACCTGTAACTAAAGAGAGAAACACATCAACAAGAAAAGGGAGAACAGCTCCTTATGCAAGGCTCAGCCAAGCCATGTAGTAAACATATAACTTGCACATGGAAAGCTGACATACCCTTCAAAGAAAATCACAGCTCCATAGGGATTATAACCAGGATTCCAATGAGTCTTGTTCTAAAACTAACCTCTACACGACACAGGCATCTGGTCTTGCCCATATTCTGTCCTTCATTTCTTCACAGAATATGAAGAAGCTTGTGTTTCCTGACAAAGTAGGGTTGGAAGAGTTGGATGGGAACAGGGGTGCTGAGGTCTCCTGTTTTCAGAGGTTTCCCAAGTGAAAACTGAAGCGAGCTTGTTGTTGCATGCCTTCAAGTTATATCTACCTTATGGCAACATCAAAGGAAACCTATTGTGGAGTTGTTCTTGTGGGGAAAGTCTTTGGAGTGGGCTTGTAAATGCCTTATTTAGGGGATGAGAGTGTATGACTTGGTTGCTCAATAGGTTTCTGGGTCCAAGAAGGGTTTTGAACCCTAGTCACCAACACTCAAACCAGTACATCTAAAGTCAGAGACAGATCTTTCCACAGATCTGTTTGCTTACAAATACCTTTATCAAGTAGGCCTGCATAAGGCACCAGATCCTGTTTGATCTTGGAAACCAAGTAAGATCAGTCCTGGTTAGTTTTTGGATGTGAAACCAGGATATCAGGTGTTATAGACCACTGCTTCTTAAAATGTGGGTTCCAGCCCAAATGGGGTCCCATTAACTCAATGTTGGGGTCCCCAAAAATTAGCAACAGGATAAAGTTTCTGAATGCCACCCATTCACACAAATCTGTTAGCAACAATGGGTAGTGTTTGCAGTGCAATTTTGCAGAAAATGCTTCAACTGTACTCCACAAAAAGAAAAATCAGCCTGTGTAGTAAGTCTTGAAAATGCTGATTTATTGTTAGTCAATTTTTGTTTTTTAATATTTATGTATATTATTTATTTATTTATTTCTGGTATTTTTATCCCGTTCCTTCTCAACCCCCAAAGGGGAACTCAGGACGGCTTACATTTGCCACTACATATAACACAGCTATATAATAACAATTAAAACAATAAGTAAAACATTCATTAAAACAGTATATATATGTATATATACATATATACGTATTAGGCCTGTGCGGTTTCGTTCGTTAATTCGTTAATTCGTTAATAATTCGTTAATTTTACCATTTCCGAAGCGATATCAAAACACATTTCCAAACCCGGAAGGGTTTATAAATATCGAACCAGCAGCCCCCATAGATTTAACGAGCTTCCGCTCGTTTCGTTAATGGGATGGAGGCTGCTGGTGGGAGCCAATCCGGCGCTCCCAAGCAGTGCACCGTGGCTGTTTGTTTTTGATTGGCCGGCGAGCCCTTTCAAAGCGGCTCCGCGCGGCCGTAGCTCATTGCTGCAGAGGGCGAGGGAGAGAGAAGAGGTCCGGGAGGGTTTGCATTGGGTTGGCTTGGCTTGGCTAGCAACTGGATTGGATTCATTCCTTGCTGCTGTGAGTGCTGCTTATATTCCTTGCTTGGATTCATTACTTCCTTCGGTTTTTGTGAATTTGTTTCTTAATTTTTTGGTTAATTTTCCATTTTAAAATATTTTTTAATATTATTTTTTATTTTTTTAATATTATTTTTTAATATTATTCTTAAAAAATATTCTAAAAAAGAAAAGACTCTTCTGTTGGTGTGTGCTCTCATTTGCTGTCTCCTGCCTGTGTTTGGTCCACATTTGGGCCATTTTTTGGTTAATTTTCCATTTTAAAATATTTTTTAATATTATTTTAATATTATTCTTAAAAAATACAAAAAAAATTCTAAAAATTCGTTAATATTTACAAAATTTCGTAAATACCAAAACTTTTTTTGGGGGAAAGTTTTGTAATTATTTTAAATATCGAAACAAAAAAACACCCCAATTACAAATCGATTTTAAAACCAAATTTATATGTATATATACATATATACGTATATACCAGGGAACACATCAAAATATCTCAGCCAGAAATATTTTTGGGAAAAGTGGGGAAAGTTTAAGAAGCCCTGCTATAAGACTATATCCCAGGGGAAGGAACTGCCAAAACCACCTCTGGATATTACTTGCCTAAGAAAACTCTTTATGGAGTTACCAGAAATTGACAAGTGACTTGAAGGCACAGATATTATACTATTTATTTATTTATTTATTTACAGCATTTATATTCCGCCCTTCTCACCCCACAGGTGACTCAGGGCGAATTACAATGTACACATATATGGGAAGCATTCAATGCCAATTAGACATACAACGTATATAGACATACACAGAGGCTATTTAACTTTTTCTGCCTGCCAGGGGAGCTGTCCTTTTCATTGTCCATCTGCGACACTGATGAAGTACTTCCGCATTCCCTGCATGCTTTGCTGGAGTGCTTTATGCTGGAGTCTTTTTATGGCCTCATAAATTAGTTAAATTAGCCTCCCCACATAGGTGGTACCTAATTTTCCTACTTGACAGATGCAACTGTCTTTCGGGTTGCAAAGGTCGACAACAAGCTACACAAAATTGGCCGGAAGCTCACTCCGACCCGGGCTGGCTTCGAACTCATGACCTTCTGGTCAGAGTGATCTTAATGCAGCTGACACTCAGCCAGCTGTGCCACAATCCCGGTGTCTACTTCTACTAAATGTTTGGTCCATTATGGGTTTTTATTCTTGTGGGAATAAAAACCCATAATTGTCTAAATTATCATTGTATTCTTGTGGAAAACAGGATTCTGTGTATCCTATTCCCATGATGGAAGTACTATAGATCACTCCCTATAGTGGTTCCCAACTATTTTTTGACCAGGGACCACTTGACCAGGGACCATTTTGATAAGGGACTACTCTCCAACATTAGAACCAAAAGGCTTATGAATAGATTTTTGGTCAACTTTGGATTTGGTTTGGTTATTTGGGATGCTGATTAAGAAAATTGCATTGGAGAGACAACATCAGCTCTAGTTTCCGATAAAGAACATATGCCATTCAGTAATCACCATATAACGGTGAGACCCTGGACCATATTCTAGTTCTTGTGGACCACTGGTGGTCCACGGACCAAACGTTAGGAACTATTGCTATAGTATATAACAGGAGAGAGTTGCCTTGACTAATATTTTACAAAGGTACGATTCTCCTGATAGTATTACTTGCATTGCATAACTGGCCTTATGGATTATGCTTCTTTTAGACTTTCTAGCTAGGTCTGAATTCAAATTGCTGTTGTAAACGCTCATTCTGACAATTTTAGGAATTGTGGACTTTGTTCAAGTCTAGAAGCAAAAAGAAATCATTTATGCCTGATCAGGTCCTTCAAAATAATCATTTATAAACTTTTCAAATTGCATATTTTTTAAAACAAGTTCCTCCCCATCTTATTTCCTTGAAGCAATCACAATTATACATCAGATATATCTGCACCACATCCTTTTTATTGTCAGCTTTGAATTATATTCATTTAGCTTGCACCTTTGAAGTCTCAAAATCATATCCTCGTGTATTACATGTTTAGAGGATGTGCAATGTTAATTCTAAAAAGTGCCCATAGCAGTACTGTTCATTGATAAACATTATTTCTATTAAACAAGCAAATAACTTTTCCAGGTGTTCTGGAAAATATTCTCCAGATTCTTCAGGTAAGCTTCTTTATTCTGTTTTCTCCCTTTTTTGTCTGTCT